ACATACAGCTCACTCTAACATTACGTTATACATGCACACACACACACACACACACACACACACACACACACACACACACACACACACACACACACACACACACACACACACACATGGCTATGCTGCGTCTGTCTGATGAATGAACATCAGCTGTTAAGTTGATGTCATGCGTTCGCTTCCCTGCAGCGCCACTGAAGGATCTGATTAGACCTCTACACACCAGGGCCAATGTTATTTTGCTTGTTTAACCAGTTTACAGCAAACCAGACCGTTCTGCTCTCAATTGACGCCTAAAATTGTGCAACCTCAAAACAACAAATGGCAGATTTTTGGCAGCTTCCCCCAAACCCACTCAGCTAATTATGAGATTACTTTGGGTAGGTGGCCCCGGGGTGCCACCGCTGCAGAGGAGACCACAGCTCAGAGGCCCTAACAGGTTTTAGATTCAACCGATCATACGTGTAGAAAAACGTGACTGTGTGAGGTGATGGATGACAACAGATAAATTGTGTGTGCAAAACTTGTGTGTCTTCGTTCAGTTTCAACTCTGTATCTATCTGCAACCACACACACACACACACACACACACACACACACACACACACACACACACACACACACACACTCTGTTCCCCCGCCCAAACCTCTGTCTTGGATGGTTTTTGTCAAATGTGTCACCACCACACATCAGCAAGTGAGGTGGAAAGAAACCATAAAATAGCTCTGCATGGTCTGCCTTGAATTAGCTCCAAACCTCACTCCATATCTGTCATAAACGATACAATTAAACTTAATCCCGCCTGCCAAAAGGGAAAGGAGCGAGGGAAATGGAATAAAAAAAGAGAGCGAAAGTGGCCATCAACAGTAAAATAGAATGATAAACGTTGTCGGTGCGAGCGCAGTGTGTGGCAAGTGCAGGGGCTGATCAGAGAGCTGTGTGCTCTCCACCGTCTGCCAGCATGGACGTGGTGGGAGAGGACTGAGATTTCAAATGCGTGTCCGTGCCAAATCTGCAGATCTCCCTTTTGACCACATTAGAGGTGTAACGCACTGGTGGTCTTTGATTCCTCAAATTGAAAAGGGATGCCCCACAAAGAGATCAGATGTCATTTAAAGGGGCCTTCCCCACCCCCACCTGCTCAAAGAATATTACATATCGGTCATAAATGATGAGGTTGGAGTGAATCCCCCACCCCCCCACCCCCCCAAATGTGAAAATAAGATTCCTGGAACAGTGTTGGTGGTCAGTCACACACGGCACATAGGCAGCCCCTTCTGCTCTTATTAGATTGTACTTGCTTCTATGTCACACTGGCATGTGGCTAGACTACGTGAGAATTCAGATGCATTTTCATATTTTCTTGAGGGATCGTCGCAGTAAAACAAAAAAACCACCAGCGCACTGTTGAGTCAAATTAATCTTAATTTGCACCATCATTTACACCATCAGTTAAACACTGACACTAATGACTTTATTTGGGCCTAAACTGTCAAAAGTCTGTAAAAAATGAACAGTCTGGTGACTTTTTTCCCCTTTTCCCTTTAATTTTTTAAAATGCTTTAGATGTTGAAGTCACTGAAATATTGACACTTAACTTGAAGAAAACGTATGTTGCAAGAAAGATAAAGGTCTATGGGATTAAAATAATTTGTGCAGTTCCAGGTATGTTTGGCCGGGGGTGATGCTGGTTGCTGCTTTCTGTCTGAAACTGTAAAAGTAACCTCTAGTTATTGAGTGAAGACAAATGAAGATCAACTGAAGATCAACTGCAGACCTCAGTCAGCAAAGAAGCTGCACCCCCGCTGCTGCACAAAGAGCTGTTCACCTGTTCATTCAAAGTTCAAGGGAGCTGGAGTCAGAACGCAGAACCACAAACTGGAGAATGAATCGACGTAATCATGCTGTTGTCATGATCAACAACATCTCTTACGTTGAGAAGTCCCAGCTGCTGCTGCTGCTGCTGCTGAGCGCGTGGTGGAAATACACCCCCCCCCCATCCCCCAGGCCCTGAAACTGATGAGAGGAACAGTTCTCGAGATATACGTTAGATGTGGAAGCATATATGAAAGAAACAACTTTGAGAAGATGCCTACTGTAAATTATAAACAGTCTATGCAGTCAAATTATAATTCAGTTATGAGAATATAGTGTATCCATATAAAATTGCATTTACAAATTTTAGATTTACCTTTTTAGGTAAGAAAAAGGCTTATGTATATATTAAGAGCTGGACATTTACAAAGTTAAGCAACTGAGCCTGATCATTCCTATGGCTGCCACTGTGTAGTACCAGTGGAAATGAACATCCCACTCTGCCGCAGCTCTGCATCACTTCATTTATCTGCACTGACAGAACTCAAAACAACACCACTTCATATAAAACTGTGGGCAGGTGCTGTCTTCACACTGGAGCCTGACTGGCAGAGACCTGAGATACACAAGGACACTGGTGGAAAAGGTTTTCAACTTTTGGACTTTTCATAGCAGTGAATACTCTGTATCCCTCACATATGACAAACAAACTGTAGATAGTGTAAACTGCTTCAATGTA